AAAAAAAAAAATGGAGGCAAAAGTACCCAGAACTTCAAAGCCCAATATCTCAAAACTACACCTCTGTCAACATTCTTTTTTGTTTCTCCATAACTACTCAGGCAATTCTAATGGGGTTGGGATAATTTGAAAGCTGAATAAATTTGCGATTTTTGTTTCAGATGATAAAAGTCCATATATGATGTTTTGCATTCATAACAATGAACATTAAAAAAAAGAGGAAATTTCATAATCCAAATCATGTCACATTTAAGTATTGATATAGAGTATATGTGTTTTTTTTAACAAGTTCAGTCATTGGATAAGTAAGATTTATATATTTTTTTTTCTACAAAACCTTGTTTTTAAAAAATAATTTCATTGTTTATTATCCAAATGATATGAAACTTGGTGGTGTAAACTGTAGTATATGTATATATAGCATTTTAAAAAATCGCGAAAATACAATCATAATTAGTTTTAATAGCAGTTTTAGAGTGCAATGGCCCCCTTAAAGGAATAATTACAGTTAAATGGTTTATTACTGCACCTTTGCCAGCTTGTTTGTATCAGCCTCACTGCTGTGGGTCCTCAAAGCATCTATTTTAACCAGAATCATGACAAAATACAGAAACTTAGAGATAAGCATGCACTCCTTCTGAATGATCCCGGGTAAAACTAGCTTTCTCAGTGGCCACCAGGTCTATGTGCAAGTTGCCAGAGGCTCTCCATCCTGCCAGACCAGCTCATATTCAGCAAGAGTATGGAAACAGAATTTCAGTGGAAATTTGCCTTTATTTTATGCATGTAGAAGGTTCCCAATCACATCCCTTGCTGTGGGTTAGGACTTTTATACATTTGAATCTGCATCAGATATTTAAATCATACTCTGTTGCCAGTTGCCATATACACCCTTAACTCTGTGGATCAGGATGCTTCACTGCCCACATGTGACCTAGAATATGAGCATTAGGTTTGGTTGGGTGGCCACTCTGATGGGTGTGCGGCTTGTAGGCCAGGCGCGCACAAACACTCATGTGCAGTGACAAGACTCCATGCCTCCCATGTCCATTGTTATTTTCCCTTTTCTGCTTAAACATTTTTAGCTTTTTGGCCATTTTCCAATGTCTATATTTGTCATTTGATTTGTTTTATCCTGATGGTAATAAATTGTTCTCTGTGTACACACTCCATATTATCATCTCCCCAAGTAGTCCATATCACAGTGCAATAATATTAACAATAAGTAACAGTTAGTTATTTGCTTCATTTTTTTATTTTTTATAGTATTCAATATTCTGTAATACAACTCATGCCGCTGGTCATAGTGGGCAGGGATAGGATCGTGATTGTGGAAATAGCTGCCACTCTTCCAGCCTTGTCTCACAGACGGTACATTCCACACTCATTTATAGATGGAAATAATGCCCATTAAGTCTAATTACCCTCCAAGAGTTTGTGTGTTCATGCTGAATCATTCCCGTCACCCTGACCTTTAGCTGTAATTCTCATTATGGTGAGTTCTTGTCACCCTGGTCCTCAGCCATATTTTCCCATGATGATATTATGTTCACATCATTCGCCCCTCAACCCAGTTTTTGTCATGACATCATCAGGATCTTAGGGTTTAAGTGTATGTTGGTATGATTTCTTCAACAACAAATTATTTTCGTTTTAATTCAATGCTGCTGAAAAAATGTAATGTTCACTGTAGTTTTGCTTTGTGAAATGTCGCTACACATAGATAGCTCCGCAGGTGCTCAGTCACCAAGAGGTCAGTCAGTAGACCTCCTGACCTCCTGCAGCCGCCTGTTTCTCCAAGGGATTGGTCATCAGTTGCACTGTGCATCATATGACGCCATCTACGTATAATGGGTTAAAGAAAAGGGCAAATATATGCCATATAAATACAGGAAATACATTGAAAGTTAGCAGAATTCTGGTCTTTATGTATTTTCATTTTTCCTAATCCAATATTGATTTTGGCTTCCATCAGTACTGTGCATCAATAGGTTTACTCTTCAAATGATAATTATGAAATATTTATGACCATAAAGAGGTCTTTCTAAACAGGAATGAATTTCCAAGTTCCAACAATGCAAATTATGATGTTTGGTGTTTCAAAAGTTTGAGTTTATACACCAGGAAAGTATATATGTCATTGTCTTATGTCAAACTACCCCATAGTGGAACATCATAGTTGAAAAAGTTTCTGAAAGAAATGGGATAAATTACCATGTACAGTATGTGCATGTATAGCAACAGAAAGGCATTTGACTTTATAATCTTAAAAAAAAAATGGATATTTACATGTATTTACATGTAATTAGATGTATTAATAGTCAAAAGAAAATAGTATAGTAGGTGTGCATTTTTTGATACAGAATGATATATTTTGTGGAGGGTGAAAAGAGGGGTAAAGCTGTGGGTATCAGCAGCATTTCAGCTGAACTGTCAAAGGCTGGTGGTGAAATTATGGTGTGGGGTTTGTATGCTGTCCTGGGCCCGGATTCACTAACGCACTTACGATGGTAAAATCACTAGTAACTATAGTTACCATGGTAAACAGATAGCAGTGGTATTTACTAACAACTTGCCATTGGAGTTACCAAGGTGAATTTTACCAGTGGTCAGAGCACTGGTAACTTCTGGGAAGATGATGTCATCATGTGTTATCTCGTCAAAAAAACAATATCTAAACAAGTTTTGGATTTGTTTTTACACCTAATGTAACTAATATGATGGCAAACAGATATCACAATGCGGACATAGTGAAGAAATGCAAATTTCACAGGAAACTAGCAAGAATAAAATCCACACAAATTCTTATAAACTTATAGGCCTACATTATACTAGAATGCATGGAACCGATAAATAAGTGAAAAAAAAAAAAAATCTCTGACATAATTATTACAAATGCTATAGAAAAAACTACCTTGCTGATATATAAACTGGCAAAGATGAAAAATATGTAAATAAAAAGCTGTTTGGGCTGTCACTTTGGTTTGAGTTAACACTAATATATTAATATAACAGTGTTTGTATTGGTTCCTATCTATACAGTAAATATATATCCAACATGATGGACATAATCAAATAAATATATTCTTTTTTCTACATGTGCTTAAATAGTGTTTTATCTCTGATGATTATGTGAACAATCTCGCTGTGTCTAGTTCTGTTTACATGTTACGTGATTGGCTGAAGGAACCTAAAAGATTATGTATAGCGCTCGCTGATTGGTTGAATTGCTTTACCAGAGCCATCTGTTGGCTACCATTAGAATGAGTTGATTTATGATCGTAACTCAGCATATCCAAATTACCATTTCTTCGTAAATCCCGCTTTGCCATGACTGGTAAACGCAATGGTAAATGACTTCTGGTAAATGCGTTACGATCGTATGTTAATGAATCTGGCCCCTGGCTGCCATCTGGCAGACTGGTACCATTCCCCCTGACCTGTTGAGCAGCATGGTCATCCCTCTCTTGAAGGGGAAAGGTGGAATTGATGGGACTGCAGCAATCCCCGAGGTATTACATAGCTCTGTATACAAGGCAAGGTTCTCTTTCACATTCTTCTGAGACATACCTGAGACCACCTGCTGAGGCACCAGAGGCTGAACTAATCTGGATTCACTCCTGGGAAGTCCACAATGGAACGTATTCTGGTGCTTCAAGCCATTGTAGAGCACTGGTGTGAGTTTGGGCACGGACTGCTTACAGCTTACCTCAAAACGAAGAGCTGGATACTGAGAAGAGCTACTGAAAGAGAATGAGAAAACTTGCCAAACAGTACCAGATACATTAGAAGACACTAAATACAAGTCTGTAATAAAAAAGAGACATGAGAAAGACTACCTGTTTAAGACAGCAAATAGGATTATTCACATAGAAGATCATCCTGCATGGAACTTTGGATGCTTTGAGCACTGATCATGGTTTAGCATAGAAGGTAAGAATTGAATGAGAACGAATATCTTTACAATACAAGAGATGTATTTAACCGGTATTGATTATATCTTCGTCAGAAATACATATATTTCTGACGAAGATATAATCGAAACCGGTTAAATACATCTCTTGTATTGTGAAGATATTCGTTCTCCTTCATACCTTTCCACATTTGTCAACATGAATACGGTTCATAGAAGGTAAAGCAAGTGAAACAGAAAGGATTATTCTATTCTCAGCAGTCATTACTACATTCTTACATTTGTATAATTGTTGTACAGTCAGTGGTATGTAAAATGATAAACAGTTGCTGCAAAACAAAAAGAAAATTCACAAACAAATGTTTGTATAGTTTCCTTTCATATTCCTACCAGCTAGTTTGGAGGAAGGAATTATGCATGAGGCTACTATCCAAGCAAATTAAAGTCTTTGCTCTAAGAGCTGTAAAGCTGTCAGCTGACCCTGCCATTTATAGCTGATTTTGGGCACCATACATTTGTAGTTAAGAAGAAACATCTGGTCTTGACTAAGGTGCAACTCTAATATTACTGTTACATGTATGGTAATCTACAATCTTGAGAAAGCTGTTGCTAGACTCTGTCCTGGTACTGTTCCCAAGCAGAAAGTCAGTTGCTAGTGAAATGAACAAGAAAACCCCTCCATATCAACTCTGCACTGAAGGAAATCACAGATTTTCTACAGAACATTTCTGTGAGGGCAATACAGCATTATTTACAAAAGGAACTGGGCCTACCCATGCCAAGAAACCACTACTTATATAGGCTAGGAAAAAGAAATGAGTTGTCTCATAAAAGAAATTGGGCTTCCTAGATTTAGGATTAGTGGGTAAGAGTAATGATATTTGACAAAGCATATCTTTCTGAGTCTTTTGTCATCAAATCATCAAATTCCATACCTTCATGGAGATATAACAAGATAGCCAAGTTTTGTAACAAAATTAAGGTGTGCTTTTTGTTTATTTTTAACTCTTTAGTGTAGATTTCCCATGTAGCATATATTCATTTTGCAGCCATTTTATTATGATTATGCACAAAGTTTCTATGTTCATCAATAACACTTTTTTTCAGAAATAGAGAAATCAGATGAGCAGAGTGAAGGAGATTCTGCACCGGAACGTCAGGATGAAGAGACTGAGAGCATTAAATCATTGGCTCTTTCAAAGAAGCTAAGCAGATCAAGAACTTCTCTCTTTGAGGAAAAGGTACCAGAAATGCCCATGATCCAACTTCCACAGGATTATAATCCACTTGTGGCACTCAACCAAGTGGAAATGTTGTTTAACTTAGTCCTGAAGACTTCAAGGATGATTCCTGAAAGAACCTTTAAATGCCGTGACATTCAGCAAGCAGTTAAGCAGGCTGCTCATCTGAGACGTGTAAGAGACATTCAAGCAATAGGATGCATTACTGTGGAGATGTTTAATGCTCCAAAATGTCGAGTGCTTAGTAACAGGGCAAAGCTACCAGAGAGATATGCCCATGCCCTCAAACTATTGATGAATGATCAGATTGACATACCAAGGTGCATCCGTCACACACTACAGGTTATATTTCAGATTTACAGTGCAAGAGACACTAGAGACTATGTTCTCCCTAACAAGTATGAGCCTGTGTCTTCAGATGGTCTCCCTCCTCCCAGCCCTCACCAGCTTCTTCAGTCTCTGATTAATGTAATTGTCTTCCCTTCATATTTCCCTAAATTGTATGCCTTTGTGTGCAAGATGAGGCAGTACTCACAACTCCTTAGTGAAGCTCAACTTTCATGTTGTGATCTGCAAAAGAGGAATGAGTACATCATGAAAGTGGCTGAAATTAGGGTCAAGATGGCTGCCAAGGACCTTCCAAAGATATTACCAAGTCTGTCCTCTGAAGGATTGAGTCTTATTCTGCCGTACCTCATAGAGCTCTTTGAATTCCCAGAGAGTGCTGTAAATGCTGCCTGGTACCTGACAAGTCCCCTAGCCCAGGCCCTTGGGCCAGAGGAAGCAAACAAACACCTCTTACCACCAGTTGTTAAACTGTTTGAAGCTGAAACTGTCACAGACAAACATCTAAAGCTCTTCCATCGCTCTTTCTTACTGCAGCTAATAGTCTGGTTTGGGTTACATAAGTTCCTCACCTTCTTTGTCACACCATTAATAGAGGGTGTAGGAGGTTACAAAGAAGTTTTAGGAAGAGCACAACAGGCTGCAGAAATAGTGAGGAAACAGTCAACTACACTGAAGTAAGTCATTTAGGTGTAAGTTACACAATTAGCTTAAAAAGATGCACCAGTAAGTAAAAGACGTTGAAGATATTTAAGTTGCTATATTTACCCTAAATGTTTGAAACTCTAGAGCCAGTTATCAAACCTTTTTGTGCTATTTGAATTCCTCTGCTGAATTAGAAGTACACTTTACCCTTGCTACATCTAGTAGTCCCCACATAATTATCAAATATTTGCTCTAGGAGTGTGGACATAAGCCTGGGTAGTGAAGGAGTTACCTCCCCTTGTGAGGAGGACTCACACTCCAGCAACACAGAGCTCACCCTCAGAATGGAGGCAGAAGAAGCTGGTGCTGCAAGAGTAGAAGGTGACCTCACAGATGCTGAGGCAGAGGCTGAGCCAGGTTAGAGCTATTGTGGTTGTGAGTGAATTAATATTTCAAAAAAATCTGACTGGATATGTGTTTTGTTTTGTTTTTTTCCATGGGAATGTTGAAATTTATAGATTATATCTCACAGAACAGCAATTCTGCTAACATTGTAATTAACTCTTTGGATCCAGTTGCTTCACAGCAATTACATGGACCAAAATATGGGCATTAGGCTTACGAGAGTGGCCGCTCTGCCAGGTGCGCGGCTTGTAGGCCAGGCACACGTGACACTCATGGGGTGACAAGACTCTGTCCCTCCCCTTTGAAATGTTATTCTCTCTCTCTCTCTCTCTCTCTCTCTCTCTCTCTCTCTCTCTCTCTCTCTCTCTCTCTCTCTCTCTCTCTCTCTCTCTCTCTCTCTCTCTCTCTCTCTCTCTCTTCTCTCTTCTCTTCTCTCTCTCTCTTTCTCTCTCTCTCTCTCTCTCTCTCTCTCTCTCTCTCTCTCTCTCTCTCTCTCTCTCTCTCTCTCTCTCTCTCTCTCTCTCTCTCTCTCTCTCTCTCTCTCTCTCTCTCTCTCTCTCTCTCCCTCTCTCCCCCCCCCCACATGGTAATAGACTGTTTTCCTTGCACACACTCCATATTATCCCTCAAGGTAGTTCGTAACTCAGTGCAAGAATAATAGAAATATGTATATTTTTTTATTTGTTTAATTCTTTTTTCTTTCTTTCTTTCTTTTTCATAATATTCAAGTTTCTGTGATACAAGCCATGCCACATGTAGCTGTGGCTAGGTATAGGATGTTGAGCATAGAAATGGCATCCTCCCTGGAGCCATTTATCAATGGGAATAATGCAAAAGCCCCCTTCTAAAGCTAAATGAGTCTAATCACCCTCAAAGAGGGTTGTGTACTTGTTCTGAATCTTTTCTGTCACCCTGGCCAAAACACTAATGATGGTAAGTTCACGTCACCCAGCCATTGGTGAGATTTCCCATGACACCCTCAAGCAATTTTGTCATGAGGTGATAGTCATGTCATCTGGATCAAAGGGGTTAAAGTAACGTTAATTTATGTACTCTGTGTAGACTTTCATCATGTTTATTTTTCAAGGAAGAATTAAAGCATTATTTACTTTGAATAGAACCTTTACAAATTAATAGGGAAGACAAGAAAGACACAAAAAAAGAATAGAGACAGAGGTATGCTGAAGAATGTGGGTATTTCAGAGGTGTTCGTGTTTGAAGGCGGGGAGGAAGAAGTAGAAGCTAGTTCGCCTGATACACCCATGCAGGATGCTAGTGATCAGCTGAGGTGAGGCAGCTAGACTGTTTAGTGCCAGTGCTTTACTACTTCACTTTGCATGGTGTTGCATGATATCTGTCAGGACTGGGAAGATAGGAAGAGAATAGCACATTTATCACTTTGTAAACTGCTGAATTTCTTAAAAGATTTAATCTTTTTAGTTCTTGTGTTCATGGAGATAAATCATCTTAATTGTCCTTGAGGAGATTAGCCTAATTATTTGAAATGTGATTTGGGAATCAAATTATTGTTTAATGGTGTTACTTGTACTTTTTTTGTATGTTTTGTATTTTCAATGGCATTTGCACTATTTTGATTTTTTGGGGGTACGTTACTCATTCACTTTTATAATAGGAATGATGATGATATAAGGACAATGGTTAATATTATCCTTAATACTAATATACTGATTTTGTTTATTCATTCATTTATTTCTGTCTTTTTTTTATAAGGCCTACTAGTGTTATAGAAAGTGCCTTGGGAACTGTAATTCATAGGAGGTATTAGAGCAGCAGGCGGTCCATCTAAGATAGTGAATTTCATTTAAGCAATAGTGTTTTTAATCTAACTAAAACCTCGCTTAGAAAAGTAACAACAACTCAAGAAGAACAAAATCTGTATGAAAATGGATACATAGTATATAATGAGTATTAAGTTTACCCTTACTGCTCTGAAAGCCTAGGAAATTACAGCTTCTCAAACGAAATAGTACCAGGAGCAAATCACAATAGACAAGATCACAATAAATCCTTGCATTTGCCCCATTTAAGATCCTTGGCAAAACATAATGATATTCATTTGATGATTTTGATTTTACATATCTTTTTGTCTTCTTTTTCTTTTATAAATTGTATTCATAAATTCCTTTATTTTATCATATTCATCGTATTTCCCCTCTTTCATCACATATTATGATGTATGTTTAATGAGATCAGTTTTGTATGTAAAGTTGAATGAAAAAGGCTGAGTGTTGGTAGTTGCTGTTTCAGATCCCTCATGCCTACAAGGCCCAGGGCATAATTTCTATGCAGGGTAGAAATCTAGCAAATGCTTAGATGTTTGGAGACTGTTGTAGCCTTAGGTTTTGATGATTAAAGTTTAGATCTGTTGGTTTTCATAAGGGTTTAAATTCCATATAGGCTTGTTCAAGTCAGTGAAGAAGTACATTTCAATATTTACCCTCTAAAACATATGTCTCACCCTGTGTATTGTTCCCTGAGCAGATCGCCTCTTGCATCAGAGACCATTAGCTTGGATGAAGTGTCCCTGCAAGAGGGCATTGGCTCCATCCCCTCCCTGTGTCCATCCCCCCACTCACCTTCCATGAGTGGAGATGAAGATGAGGCTTCCAGTAATCCTGACACTCCAACCCCTCTGGTGTCTGCATACTCTCCCTCGAGTGTGTCTACGACCACAGGCATTACCATACCAAAGAGTGGCACAGATGAGATGGCCCTGATAAAGTCAATAGGGGAGCACTCCACATCATTGCCCAATTTCCGCTTAGAAAAGGAACCTCATGTCACCAACATTGACATAGGTGAAGGCAACTCTGACACCCTGACAGCTACATTCAGAGAATCAGAAAATCAAGATGCCAGGCATAAGATGGACCTAGATCATAACATGTCAGACGTTTGTTGTGAGAGTGTCCTTTGGTTGGCAGGCAGACTAGGTCCAGTGCTTACTTCA